TTCTGAGATAGGTAAAATTTAATAAATGAAGGGGTGATTAAATAGCGTTAAGACTAAGAATCTTGATAAACAAGCTGGAGATGAAATGGCATAAGTGCAGTTGCATAAATAGAAAAATGAAATCTGAGTTGAAGGACGGGTAAGTGGTCTAGGTGGGCAAGAATATGGGACCTAAGTTGAGATGTAACAGGAAATGAAACCAGAATGAATGTCAGGCTACGAACTGACCACTAAGGTTTTAAATCCTGGGTCAGGATTGTGGGCCCTTGTTCACCAGGTGATTGGGTGACATTCTGAGAGCCTGAAAAAAAAAAAAAAAAAGAGGCAAACTCGAAGCACTTTTTTTATATAAATTTTAAAATGTTGTCATTTCACAGTGAACCTCCTAACACCATGAGCTGACAATGAAATAGGATGCTATTATTCAAAGGTTAAATTTCAATTCCATGTCGAGGAAGTCTTGTGTTGACGACTAGAAAACAAGATGTCCAGATATCCATAGAATTTTTCTCTTTTATTTATTTATTTTTTTGCTGATATTTACTGACCTGAATATTGTGCTAGATGCTAGAAGACATTTCTATCTAATCCTCACAACAAGGCAATATGGTAGGGGGTTGTTACATTGAAAATAATCCACAAAGAATGATGAGTGAGTGCATTTTAACATGATCCAAGAACTGTTAATTACTGAAAAACCGTGAGATTTGCTACCTTTCCATTCAAGAGCAGGTGAAGATAACTCCAACTATGTACAGTGTCACAAGACAATGAGAGGTGAAAAATGAAGATACATTTTGATTGCATCTCTGATTCAATGCAGTCATAGCCTTTCCATGATAACCATTTGAAAATAGACAAGCTCACACCAAAAATAGGAAGAAAAGTATAATCGTGGTAAAGTAAAAGGTCACTTTACACATAAAGTAAAGTGAATGTCAAAGAGGATAAGTAAATTGTCCATGGCCACATGGCTAATAAGTAGCTGATCGGGGTTCCAACTCAACTCCCTAGGTCATGAGCTTTCACTGTCTATGCAATGCTCCATCTGGTCCTTTCCTTCTAAGAATGTGATTATGTTCATCAAGTTCTGTTCCTTACTATGGTTTACAGGGAAAATTTTCGTACTTGTCATAGTTCCAAAAAATAATTTTGAATTTTAAAAGCCAGTGAGATGCCTCTGAACAGTGGAATATCGCCCAGGGTTGTAATTTGGGTTTATGCATTACAGTGTTTTAAGGCCACTGGTGGCCTGTACTTTGAGATCAAGCTAATATATCAATAGGAGCTAAGTGAAAGAAAATAAACTGGTCTCCAGGTAGCCAGATAGTATATGAAGTCAACAGAAGGAACACTTCTGTGGTTGATTAATAATTCAAGAAGCCCTTGATCCTTAATCCTCCTCTAGTCTCCAATTGCTTTCCTTCTTTTTCTTCCTACCTTTTCTCACTTCCTCCTTCCAAATAAATTGTCTCGGCTGACAGGCTGCACTTAGGTAATCATGGCACAACACAATGAATGACTTTGTTTACAAAATTCTTGCTGGTATTTTATTTCTACCCCTAACAGTACTTTGTCTTTGAAAGCAAGTGAATCTGGAGACATGCTTTTTTTTAAACCTGCCTTTCTTTTGGCATATAGTATTTATGCCTTTAGAACTTTGTTGTTGTTGTCATTGCAGGGCATTTCACTGATGAGATTCATCAAAATACACCCACAAATCAGCCACTACGAGAGACTGCCTGGATGCAAACTGTTATTAGGAAAATGATCATGATAAAGAAACAGTAACAAAGAACAGCTTTAGAAGGAGCCAGACTGTTAGCTCTTTTAAGAAGGGTTTATAGTCTCGCCCCCAGAAATAATTTATCAAAGTCTGTCGCTCTGAATGAAATTAGATTTTCCTTTTAGCTTTGGTAATAGGCCATTCCTGGAGAAGCAGTGCTCAGAAACAGTTGGGGGAAAAAAATTGCTTTTACTCACAGAAAGAAGAATTTGCATTGTTATTTTTAGCAAAGAGATGGCACCCAGAATTCAGATATGCATCTGCCTACAATGCTGAAGTCCTACTCCTTCCCTATGCTTAGGAACTGTCACAGTATCCATAAAGTATTAAATATTTTCAATGTGGTATTATTTGTTTAAAATATAGATGTATATTTATTCCTCTACTCAAGTACAGGTATCAATCAGATTTCAGAGTATAAGCAGCAGCAAAAAAAAAAAAAAAATAGTAAGAAAGCCCACGCACGAGGAAATGTTCTCACTCATTCTGTCTGCTTCCTTTATTGGGATCATAGTCATTGCACTAAACTACTCTACACTTAATTCCTTTTGGAGAGATGTGGTAAAGCTTTTGATGTGTCTCATTACTGCTTATGGTTATCCTACCCAAGTTTAGTTCACTATATGCCCAAGATGGCGAACAGAGAGAGCCCACCCTTGAAGCTCTGCAACAGCCAGGTGTGGCCATTCTGGTGTAGGGCTGGTGCTGAGGCCAGTAAGGGAGGATCATGAGATTGGGCCTTGAGCCCCAAATCACATATCCTCTCTTCATGGCTGTGTTACAAATAGCCTGTCTTCTCTTTCAAACCACTGTGATTAAATCTGAGCTCCTGTCTAACTGGCTCTTAAATTCTAGATTTCTTTTTTAAAGAGACAGAGAAAAGAGCTGAAATAGGGCTAAAGAAAAAGAATATTACTGTGCGCTTATTGTTTAGTCTTGAACAAATGATGTATTCTGCCCAAGACTTAGTTTCCTCCTCTGTCAAACATCAGTAAAATTTCCTAGTGAGTAGGGTTGTATGTATTTAAAGAGATAATACTTTTTTTTTACTTTTTAGGTTTTTTTCTGTAGAGTATGTGTGCTTGCCAGAGAGAGGGAAAGTGAGAAATCATCCACACTGCAATCCCTTCTCCTCTAACCTCCTCTAGGGATTTTTTCGGGGGTACACACATACATGCTTAGTGTGATTTTCGAGCCACAGGTTTGTGATGCAAACTGTGGTTGGCCATGTGGGAGTCCAGTGGCCTCAAGAGATTATATTTCTAAGTGCCTAGGCCAGTTCATGTGACAAACACAGATGCTAAATAACCATAGGTATCCTCCCTTTCCACTAACTGTCAAGGATAATGCCACTGTTTTCAGTGCTCAAGTTGTGCATGTTGATATTAATTTTCTTCCTTCAAGCAAATCATGATGTTATGAAATATTAGAACAGCAAGGACCTTAGAAATCATGGCCCTCTTGGGACCAGTACATGGCATGGTGGTTAAAGCGCTGGCCTCCCACATGGCCTACTGTGATTTGTGTCCCAGACCTGATGGCTTGCTTTTTCACTTTTTCTCTCTCTGTCTCTGCCTCTCTCTCTGTTGAGTGCATGAATCTTATAGCAAACTAAAAAATAATAATGATAAATACAATTAAATAAATTAAATAAATAATTCTTTAAAAAAAAAGAAATCATGACCATCTAATTTATTGGTAAAGTTTAGAAAGTCAAGTTATTAATTATTCTAGCAATTTTGACTCCCATGTCAATTCAATAACAACCATAATTTGATTATGGAATTTGTTGCTTGACACTTTAAAATTACATTGAACAAAAAGAATCAATAAACTATAGTTAATTGTACATAATCAATGACCATGTACAAACACAGTCAGACTCATAAGTCAAGAACTATTTTCTGAACTGCTTTCTTATAGCTATTTATGACTCAGAAAAGTTTTTTTGGGTGGAATGTTCTATGTTGCTTTGCCCTATGTCCCTTTTATCTTTGTCTTTACTAACAGGAGGAGAGGGCTCTGTCTCAGAGATAATTAGGGGAAAAAGATCATAGATGCAAAAAAAGAAAGATAATTCCAAAGAAAATATTATTAAATTTTAAAAGTTTAAAACTCGACTAGTTAGGTGACCAGCAATTGGCATAATGGCTATGTCAGTGGACTCCCATGTAGTCAACCACGGTTCAAGTCCCAGAACCAGTAGCTTAAACTCACGCTGGGCACATGTGCGTGTGAGCCCAAGATCCTGAGAGGAGAATGGAGGAGAAGTGATTGCCCGTGACCATCCCCCCGGGAGGTGATTTCTCGCTTTCTGTCTCTCTGGGGGGGGCCCAGGGCTCCAAAAGAAAAAACCCCACAAAAAAAAAAAAAAAAAAAAAAAAAAAAAAAAAAAAAAGAAAGAAACCAAACACAAAAAAACAAAACTTCACTAGTTAATAAGTTACATGTTACATGTACTCTGGGACTATTTACTCCAGGTGCTTTTGGGTTGTTGGAAAAGTTAGGACACATTTTTGCGTAGAAAAATACTTCATGACTTTCCCCAAAACCTAATATATATGCTATAGCATAAGTTCACTTGTATTGTTCAGTAGTTAATAATAGGAAATACAAAGGGAACCATGCTAAAATATATATAGTTATAATAATAATAATATATAATATATAATATATATTTATATATGAGTTATGTTTATGTATGTGTTCTTTATAACACAACTCTTCTTTCATATTCCATGTTTAATAACCACACATGACCCAAACTTCCTATTTAACACCTTCCCTCTTCCTCCTATGTTCTAAGGGAAAAATAAATTATCCGCAGTTAACATGTTTTATATGTGAAGAGGAAGAATATAAATCATGCAATACAGGAGGGTATGGATAATGACTTTTATAAAAGATTCCATTTCTTTGACCTATATAACCACTGAATATACATATTACCCATAATTTTACCAATAAATAAAACTAGAGTCAGAAAAGAAAAAAAGTTCCTGTATCTATTAAAAAGTCCCTGTATCTGTCTAATGACAATTTATTGTACTGATATCTACTTATTATCAGGGCAACTTGAAGAGTTTCTGAAAGGCTGGCTTTCTCATTTTGACGTTTGGCTACTCTGCCCTGTGTGCTGACTTGATGCAGTGTGAGTCAAACAATAGAGGAAAACGGCCCCCCTTCCCCCCAGTTTAGAATTCTTTTGGGTTACCTCTGAAACCCGAAGACATGCTGCTCACAGAAGAGGAGGATGGCTGCGAGGACTGCGAGGTTATAAAGCTTCATCCCAAAAGCAATTCGCTGTACAGAAACATCCTCTGAAGAGAAAGGCCCAGATAACTGATTGCAGAAGAGCTTTCTTTACACACTGGTTAAAATATAATAGCATGTTCTGTCTCATTCCCACAGATCAATCAATTTAAGTTTTATTTCCAGTCCCCAAAGGAGAAATACACATTTGTTAAGGTAGGCTGTTGTTTAATAACTGAACCCTCAAAAAGTTAAGCATGATGAGTGCTGCCGTCCTTAGTTTAGACTACCTACAAAATATAAGATAAGGCCAAGAATAAAATGATAGTACTATAATAGGATCTTGTCTGGTTCGTAGGAGAACCACAGCCACAGAATATTGGCTAATAGACCATAGCCTGTGTTGAGGAAGGTTTCCAGTGGAGTACTGAAAGTGTGACTTCTTTCGCCTGTCTTTTTCAACATTTTCAGCTGAGAATAAGACAGAAAATTAACTTCTTAGGCCAGATAGTGGGTCGTGGTTAAGATGGCTGGATCCCACTTGGGCAATCTCATGGTTTAAATCTCAGATCCTGTGACTTGAAAAATAGACCCGTATGTGTGGGTGCATACCCAAAATTCTAAAAGAAGGGAGGAATGGGAAATAATCATTCCCCATGAGGGGTGCTTTCTCTCTCTTTCTCTCTCTCTCTCTGGTGAGTGTATGCACCCTCTGGCAAAACTTTAAGAACAATAATAAAAAGAAATTAAGAAGAGGGAAAAAAAAAAGGTGAGTTTCTTAAACTTATGGGTAATATAAGGCTGTCTTTTGTGCTCCATACCTTTTAAGAAATTATCTTTATCACAGAAGCTTCACATATCCATTTCTCTGGTATATAAGTGCATTTATTTTTTATTACCTTGCTTAGCACACGGTATGTACTTTGGATCTAAGGACTCAGATATTTCTTCAATTTTGGAAAATCACTTTATTTCTTTAGCTATTGTATCTCTGCTACTCCTCTGTTAGACTTCTGTTGGAATTCTGTGATCTATCCTTCAGGTCTTGCAACTATCCTTTCAAGTTTTCTAAAAAACGTAATCTTTGTCTCTATATCCTGTGTTCTGGGTGACTTTCTCAGCACTGTCTTCAAATTCATTAATCCATTCTGATTCTAGTTTAGACTACTTAGTCAACTGAGGTTTTAAAAAATATTTTAGTAACTTTTTATCTTTTACAACTGGTTCTTTTTTACATTTATCAATTTTGTTTTGAGATCAGTATTTTAAAATATCATTTAGGGGCCAGCAGGTGGCATAGTAGTTAAAACACTGGTGTCCCACATGGTCAACAGCTGATCGGGTTCAGGATCCAGCGACTTGAGTGGGAGTATGTGTGTGTATGCTCAAAATTCCAGGAGGAAAATAGAAGAGAAGGGATTGTGGCATGGCCATCCCCACTAGGGGGTGATTTCTCACTTTCCCTCTAACTATCTCTATTTTTCCAGTGAGTGCAAACACCTTATGGCAAAAACCTTTAAAAAATCATTTAAATGTTTGTTCAGTTTTTTATGGATATGATTTCTTCATATCTCTCATTAAGAGTTCTTGGAATACTTATATTTAAGTTTGCTTTGAAAGTTAACTATATTTGGGGTAAATTTACATTCTGAATGTTGATTTTGTTAGCTGATTTCCTTTGACTGGCAGGTTCGTTTTGAGTAGGAAGACTTCCTTTGAGTAGGAAGTTTTCCTATTCTGTCTCTCCTTCTATGTTCACGTCTCCTTATTTTGCCCATGCCTCCAAGCAGACTATGGGCTTCCAGCTCAGAAGTTCATCTTAAACTGGTTTGAGGATTTCTATATCATGATAATATTGTGGCTTTCAAACACTCGATCACCAATCAGGGGTGACTTTCTCTCAAGAAGATGGGCCACAGTTTGTTTTTTAGCACAGAAAATAGCCTGAACGCTATGGTATAAGCTGAAATTTTGCATGGTATAAAAGCCTGGATAGCAACTGTGGATACCAGAGACAGTGTGAGAGGAGGGTAGAAAATGGTGAAGGGTGAGAGGGAGGGAAGCAAGGGGGGCGGGGAAGAAGTAAACTATGTCAAAACACAATTATTTATTTATTTATTTAAAACAACAGCAACAAAAGAAAATAGCATATTTGCCCAGAATATAAAGTAAATAGTACATATACCCAGAGTAGGTCACATATCTTTTCTCAGGCCATGAGTATTTAGGATTGAGCCAATATATATTGCAACTGAGCTAGATCTGGGATCTGCTCTTATTTTTGTTAGATTTTATCCACCAGGGTCATTGTGGTGGGGTAGCAGAAATCAAAACTCTGCAAAGAATTATATAAATAAATAAATAATTTGTTTTAATTTATTTTATTATTATTATTAAGTTTCTAAATTTACTATAGAGTACATACATTCACCAGAGAGAGACAGAGAGAAAGAGAAAAAGAAAGAGAGAAAGGGAAAGTGAGCAAGCAAGCCATGAGTTCCAGGACTCAAACCACTGTCAGCCATGTGGGAGTTCAATGCCTTAACCAACATGCCACCTATTGGTCTCCAAGTCATTCAACTTTATAAATTGAAAAAATATCATTAAAATATAGGCCCACGTAGTGGGATGGTGGCTAAGGGCTAGAACTCACATGACTGTGTGGTTTGATTCCTGGACCCAGTGGCTTGAAAAACACACCAGGCAAGAATGCATACATGCCCCAAATTCTGACAGATAGGATAAATGGAGGAGAAGGGGTTGTGGTGTGACCGTGCCCCATGGAGGGTTATTTCTCACTTTCCCTGTCTCTCTTTCTTTCTGTCATTCTCCAGTGAGTGCACATACCCTGTGACAATTTTTTAAACATGTATATGTGTGTGTGTGTGTAAATATATAATATATATACATAAATATAGCAAAACAAGGAGACATAAAAACAAACATATTATCATTTGCCTATGACAGCTTAAATAGACAAAATAAGACATAGAGAATACATTAGTTTGTCAGAAAAGTCACGGCATAGTTTTTCTATGCAAAAATGCATCATGACTTTTCCAACGACTCAATATATCCCATGGCTCAATGAGGAATAGATGTCCTTTTCTGTGTGAAAATTTGATCTTCACTTATCTTTCTCCCTCTGTTCCCCTGATAACTTGATAAAGCTATGATAAAGGCCCACTACATTTCTAGGCAAAAATAGAAATAACCCCTACTGAGAAATTATACCTGGACTGAAAGTAACCATAAATGAGCGAGTTGATTGGGACATCATAGCCTTAGACTCCCCTGAGTATAATGATTCATATTTAAGTCTGCCTCAGCAGGGACCTGAAAGCTATGCCCTTGGTTATTATGAGATTGGTTACTGTGGTACATGAGGCTTCTAAGCCATGGTGATTCTTGTACTATCTGATGTCGATTGCACTGCCTCTCACCCAAAATGTCATTTGGAGAGCCTGGGAAATCCTGTAAAGTGCTGCACTGACTACTCCAAGAATTAACCCCATAGCAGAGGAGTTGCCAACATTGTCTTGGTGTCAAGTTTTACTCTGACTATTATACCCCTGACTAAACTATGCCAGGTGAAGCACATTAAGGTCTTGTGAGTGTTCAGTTGAATCTAAGAAGACTCTCTAGTGAGGATTACAAGATGCTCACTGAATAACTGAATTTGGTCTGGTTAATTTGTGGGGAGTTTAGTAAAGAATTAGTTATGTGGATATGAACAGAGTGTGGTGGAGAAATGATATGGAATGGTGCAACATATCAACACTAGGAAAGTGGGCACTTAAAGAATAAGAAAAGGAAAAGAAAAAGTTACCAAAACATGGAGACAGAGTCACATGGGAAAGCTGACTGTCAGGATCTCTGGCTGCCCCTAGAGAACTCAGCCAGTTTTTGCTGACCCTGTGGGAAAAGAGCAGGAGGAATAGAAGTCTTGACCTTACTTTCTTTCCTTTCTCTGTTTTCCTGCTAGGGCCTCCTATGGATGGATCCAAAGAACTCAGAAGACAAAGTAGCCTATTGATATTGTCCAGAGAGCCGAGTTCTTTGGATGGGTTGGAGGCTGGGTACAGAATAGGCTAGAGAAGGTCGGAATGGATCTGGAGAAACAAAGGTAAATGATGTAACTCACAAAGTCAAATTATAGGTATGTATTAAACTCTTTTAAAATATAATTTTAGGGAACCAGCAGTTAGCGTAATGGCTATGTCGCTGGACTCCCACGTAGTTGACCGTGGTTCACGTTCCGGACTCGGTGGCTTAAAACTCACGCCGTGCGCGTGTGCGTGCGTGCCCAAGATCCTGAGAGGAGAATAGAGAAGGGATTGCGGTGTGACCATCCCCCCTGGGGGGTGATTTCTCGCTTTCTGTCTCTTCGTCTCTCTCTGTCTGTCTGGCGAGTGCACGTGCCCCTAGCGAAAACCTCTAAAAAAAATATATATATACATATAATTTTAAATGATCTGTGAAGTAACTGCAAAATCTGATCACAAACTTTAAGGCCACAATTTAAAACTTTGATAATTCTGAACTGCAAAATTTTATAGGTCATATTCTTTGATCACAATGAGGAAAGAATTAGTGAGCAAACTAAGACACTAGCTGTATATTTGAGACCATTTAGATGGATATGATAGTAATTAGGGAGGTGTTAGCTGTAATGGAACTTAGTGATTGACTGGACAGACATGGTGAAAAACATAGAAGAGGAAAGATGATTCTAAGCATGGAGAGCTGATTCAGTTGAATCTAAGAAGACTCTCTAGTGAGGATTACAAGATGCTCACTGAATAACTGAATTTGGTCTGGTTAATTTGTGGGGAGTTTAGTAAAGAATTAGTTATGTGGATATGAACAGAGTGTGGTGGAGAAATGATATGGAATGGTGCAACATATCAACACTAGGAAAGTGGGCACTTAAAGAATAAGAAAAGGAAAAGAAAAAGTTACCAAAACATGGAGACAGAGTCACATGGGAAAGCTGACTGTCAGGATCTCTGGCTGCCCCTAGAGAACTCAGCCAGTTTTTGCTGACCCTGTGGGAAAAGAGCAGGAGGAATAGAAGTCTTGACCTTACTTTCTTTCCTTTCTC